ACGTTGGTTCTTCTTCATGCTAGAATCTCTCTCGGGACGTAACCGATCATGTCTCTCCACAATTTGCTGAATTTCTAGCTCTAAATAAATTCTGTGTTTTTCTTATTTCTCCCAAACCCTGTCTCGCCATCTATTTATTCAAGCTCGTCATATATGCTATGTTTGTCTTCCTCTTTCCATCTTACCCTCGATTTGCTCTGAGAGTATCATATTTACCACTTCCACCTTCCTCATTATGTGCCACAGAAATTCCAGTTACCTCTTCCTGTTATTAAATATAAATTTTCCATTAAAGACTCTTCGTTGTTCACATGTTGGACCGATTGCATACTCAGCATCTTTCTGTAGAACCAATTTTCTCTTGCTTCAATTTTCTTTTTCATCTTTTAGAAGATTGTCCATTGTTCATATAAGACGACAGATATCACGTAGCCGTTCAGTAAGCTTTTCTTCGTTTCTAGCAAATTATTTTCTGTTTCTTAATCCCCTTATTAGCTTTTGGAATGCATCATCGGCTATCCCAATAAGTCTTCGGATTTCTCTGTCGCTTTTGTCCGAAAATATTTCTTGATATTTAAATTTTTATGCTTGGTTGATATTGATATCTTCGATTTGTAATATGCATTTTGGTCTCATCCCTTTTCTAACAATTATGATTTTTTTTTTTGCAGTTTATGTTCAGTCCTTTCTCCTAGCTTTCCTTCACTATTTTCTGTAGGAGACCTTTTAGTTTTCTTTCCGTGTTTGCTATCAGAACTGTGTCATCTGAATATCTTACGTTGTGAAGATTGTGGCCACCATTAATGAATCATGGTAGGATATCTAATTCTCTCAGAACTGCCTCGCTCTATTGACTGAATAAGTCACGTGAGAAGACACACCCTTATCTTACACCCATTTCTATTTTTATATATCTGCTGGGCTGATATTCTATCTGTATGCAGGCGATTACATATTCATTCTTTCTATTTGTGCATATTTTTTTGTTGTATTTGAAGCATTCATTTTACACTGTCTGCAGTTGTTCCTTATTTCTTTGTGTAGTGTTCTATATCGTGATCTATGTCTTGGCCGTCCTGGGTATGACGATAAACTACATGTGCGTCCTGGGTATGACGATAAACTACGTCCAACAGCAAGGCCTCTGATAATGCGTTTTTAAAAAATAATGTTGCTAGCTATATGTTTTTGAAAATATAATATTACCAGCTCTATATTTTTTAGGAAATAATATTAACAGAAATAGATTTTTGACAAAACAAAAATGTTATCAGGAAAAAAACAAAAAAAAATGTTGTGGGCTTTAAATGACCCATTGAGGTTGATATGCCGTAAAACAAAACAATCAAAAAAAAAAAAAAGAAAAAAAGAAAACAACCGTATCTTGTCATTGATTTTTGTCTCCATTTTTATCATCACAAGAATATCATTTTCCATCAATCCATTTTCTTCGTTGTTTATTTCCCTTTGAGAGGCTTTCATTTGCTGATGTCACTAATTCTTCGTTTAGAGTTTCCCACTTGGGGCTTTCTGTTTCCTTTTTTCCTAGTATCTGCTTTTCATGCTGTCCTTATATTTCCCCGTCAGATTCGTGTAATATTGCAGTTTGGGTGCTGTCTTAGGCCTCTTCAGTTTCAATAGTGTTAATATAAGGTTATAACTAACTGGGAGGTGATCGCTTCCGCAGTCGGCATTTGGATGGGTTTTGCGCTGTATAACTGCATCACTGAGTCTCTTGTCGATAGTTATGTAGTCAGTTTGATTTGTTGTTTCCCCTCCTAAGCTTCTCCGTGTCTATATTCGTCTTGCCTGTTCATGAAACCTTGAGTTGGCTACAACCTGATCATTTGCCGTACACCATCGTGACTATTTTTCGTCGGGTTCGTTGTGAGATCCTAGTACAAATTTGCGAACTATTTCATCCTCTCTTTCATTGTTTCTTTGGCATCCAGGTCTCCTATGACAATTATAAGTTATTGCGACTAATATTGAGTCTTGTCGATGTCTAGCGTAGAGAAGAACTTTTAGATATCTTATTCTGTACCTTGTGCTGTCGCTTCATACTCGACTATGACGTATATGTTGAAAGGCTTCCCTTTCGGGTTAATAAGTGAGAGTATCCCAGAATGCATTCCGTCATGTCTTGGTCTAGTATCAATCCTACTCCTCTTTCATTCTTCTATCTACCTTCATATATAATCCTGTGACAAAATCTCCATTGTTTGACATACGCCTAAAATTAACCTGCTCATTTCCTGTATTTTACAACTGATCACAATGTTTTAATGTTCTGACATACCATGACCCGAGGATGATTTTCGTTTGATGCGAACAGTCGCTGAATATCTGTTAGGCTTCCTCTGTTGCGAATGTTGCTCCGGGTGAGGGTTCAAAAATTTTACCCCGCTTAACGACGTTTATGTTATCAGTCGCCGTATGACGGACAGTTGACACATGTTGCGAAAGTCGACCCTACCGAAGGAGGAGTGAACTTCCAAAAAGTCTTAACCCAATTCACACCGTTAGCCTTAATATTTTGTTTGATAATCTTATGAGGATAAATATGATGTTAAATTGTATATGGGATCCTCCGCGATCAGCTG